AAGGCTTCGCGCTGACAGCCTGCCAACGCAGATTCACATGCAAGGCTCAGACTCCTGAACTGTGAGATCCTGACCTGAGTCAAAATTAAGAGTCAGATACTTAGCTGGCTGAGCCCCTGGATATTGTTTTTTAACCATTTTTTTTTGATTGTGGAAGTCTTTTGAAAATATGACCAGTGCACCTAGATCTTTTCCCAGATTGGACTCACGCATACTAAGTGTTGCAAAGAAATCAGGGGGGATTCGGAGGACCGCCTCCCCTTCCCCACTTCTAGCTGTGGATAAACCAGTTTTAGACTCACAATTTTAGAGCTCAACTGTGTAGTTAAACTGGTCTATTTATTGAGCCTTTTAACCATTCCTTCCTGAGCGAGGCTCTAGGCACTGTAGGAAGCTCTGATTTTAACTCTCTCCAGACTGTAATAATCTCCAACAAATTCAAGAGCCCATTTTCATATTGAAATTAAAGGTATAACATCTAACTTAGGCTTTTACATGTTTAGGACTCATTTTGTGTGGCCCAAGAGGAATAACAGCAACTGCCCAGTTTATCATCCATATTCTTGCTTTACTACAGCTTTTTTTTTTTTTAAATGTTTTATTTATTTCTAGGAGAGAGAGAGAGAGAGACAGCGTGAGCAGGGGAGGGTCAGAGAGAGAGGGCGTCACAGACTGAAACAGGCTCCAGGCTCTGAGCGGGCAGTCAGCACAGAGTCCGACGCGGGGCTCGAACCCACGAACCGCGAGATCATGACCTAAGCGAAAGTCAGACGCTTAACCGACTAAGCCACCCAGGCGCCCCTCTTTACTACAGCTTTTTAAAATTTCTCTTTAGATATCCATTTCCATCCCATATGGTTAAAGTCCCATCATTTTCAGTTGTCTTCCCCCTAAATTTTTATTTATAAACATTTCTTTGTGCTTCCATATAGCCATCGTCTTTAATGCTGCACAGTACTCTAAGTTGATGTACCTCTTGGATGTTGGACATAAAGATTCTTTCTAATTTTACATTTTGTACACTGTTGTAAATGACTGCTTTAAGTAGTATTTTCAGGGGCGGCTGGGTGGCTCAGTCAGTTGAGCATCTGACTTCGGCTCAGGTTGTGATCTCACAGTTGGGGAGTTTGAGCTCTGCATCGGGCTCTCTGCTGTCAGCATGGAGCCTGCTTTGGATTCTCTTTCACCCTCCCTTTCTGCCCCCTACCCCCAGCACATGCTCTCCCTTTCTTAAAAATAAGTAAACATTAAAAAACACAGAAAATAATTTTTAAAAAGTAGATTTTTCCGACTTGTCTTGGATTAGTTTTTCACAATCGATTCTCAAGGATGGGAGCAATGGTTCATTCATTCATGACATTTTTATTAAGCACAGTGCCAGCCTGGGTCAAAAGGTTGGACATTTCCATGACACTTGATATGCTTTGACATTCTTTCCAAATGTGCTAGCAAACTACTTAACCAACCAAGTCAGCTTTTAATTGTCCAGCCCATTTGATCTGTGCTTCCTCATTATTCGTCTGGTGAATATTTGGAAGTAAATTAAATAAAGCATTATAAGGAGGGCAAATCTGAAGGAGTAGCAGTGCGTGGCTAAATGAGATGCGCATGCTTTTAAAACCACTTGGAGTTTGGATTATTTCCACAACCTGACATTTTCCTGATGTGATAATTGAGAGATAAAGCTTTGACCAAATCAGAGGTTTAGATGAATTCTGTAGAGTTAAAAATAAACATTTTAAGTTAAATAATCTAGATTTATTTAAATTACTGAGAAAACTTTAAATTGAAATTTTAAAAAGCAAAACCAAAATACACAATTTTGTAAATGTGTCCAAGTTTTTATTTTGTGAACATTTATTGGATCCCTCGTATGTGCTAGGAAAACAAATGAACGTGACAGTGCATATTCTTCATATGCAGGGTAGCGAGACAGACAGTTATGTAAATAAATAATTGCTGTAGCACGTGGTGGACACTGTAAGAGAGTGTATATATCCAAGAGTATAAAGGAACAGAAATTTCTGTGTCCTTTTAGTTTTCACTATTCAGAAGCCCACCCACTTTTTAACTTTTATGGCTTATTTTCACATCTTGGAAGAGGAAAAAAAATGTTACAGAGTATAGTAAATATGAATGATTTAGTTGGGATGAAAATTCAGTTTTTGAAATTTATGGTTTCCAAAGCAAGTAACTAAAAGACTTTTGCCCCTTTATCTTTTTAAAAATATTAGTTAGTTTGAAAGAGAGAAAATAAGAGCACTGTTGCACAAATGGGGGAGGGGCAGATAACGAAGGACAGAGAGAATCCCAAGCAGGCTTGGGACTGTCAGTGCAGAGCCCAACAAGGAGCTCGAACTCCCGAGCTGTAAGATCATGACCTGAGCCAAAATCCAGAGTTGGACACTTAACCAACTTAGCCACCCAGGCACCCCTGTCCTTTTGATTACAGAGTGGCTGGCTGGTTGAAGAGAAGTAAATTGGTTGATGGCTTTCTGAAAATTCACTAGTATCTTTGTAAACGGGATTTCTAATAATCATTGGAAAGGACAAAAATAACATGATAGACCTATGCATGCTGTCCTTAGCCATGGCAAAAATGGTATAATAGGATGGTTGTTTTCAGTCATCTAAGCCAAAGTAGAGCAAAAGAAGTGGTCTACCTACTTTTCTAGAACACGGTGGTAGAGCCTAACAACCTGGGTTCATTTGTAACTGCTGGTTACTAAGTGTAACCTTGGATCTTAACACCTGTGTTTCTATTTCCTCAGTGGTAAATTGGAGATAATAATAGTATCCACTTCATAGAGCTGCCAAATCCAATAGGTGTTGCACTGTCCTCATCTTAGTCAACTTCAGAGTAACATTTGCTGCTGTTGACGTCTTTGTCCTTCCTAAGATACTCTCAGCTCCTGAGACCCTAACCTCGTTCTTTCTTCTACCTTCTATTCGTTTTCATTTGTGTTGCTCAGTGGTTCTTTTTCTGTATGATTTCTAAATGTTGGATGCCTGTAGGTCTTTCTTTCTTTTACTCCTTTCCACGCTGATCCATTAGTATCATGGCTTTAAATATCATCTGTATGCCAGGGAGTCCTTGTGTGTCTCTCGTCTTGACCTGTCCAGCTCTAAAGCCCAGATTCATATGTTAGATATTCCTTCTTTAACACATTCCTAACTGGATCTCTGAACCTCCCCACCCACACACGTAAACAATAAAAGCTTTCCTGTTCCCAGCCATCTCCATCTTCTGTAGACGGCCTTGCACCTATGACTCATCCTGGATTCTTTCCTTTTCTTCACTCCCTATATCCAAGCCAGCAGCAGATATTACCTCCAGAGTATAGTTTGAATCAATCTATTTCTGTCTCCTCTGCCACCATCCCAGTTCAAGCCATCATCATCTCTTGCCACCTTCAGAGACTTCTAACTTGTCCCCTTCCTGTCTGTTCAATACAGAGTTACCAGAATGATTTTTTTCAAAAGCAAATATCAAATCATGTCACATTTCTGTTTAAGATCCAACTAATGGCTTCCCATGACACTTCAAATCAAATCAAATCAAATCTCCTTTCCATTGCTTACATGTCTGGGCTCAGTTTCCACAGTGAAGAAATTGGGGTACTTGTGGATTTAAATAAAATATAAGCTCCTGGAGGTAGGGCACAGACGTTTTTCTGCTTTGTTCATTGTTTTTTTTCCGGTGCCTAGAATAGTGTGTGAGCATAATGGGCATTCAATATATTGAATAAATAAACACATTTGAATTAATGGGACCCCAAAAGCCTTTCTTCTTCCCCTTCCAGAGCAGCATGCTATATTTAGTATTTTCTGCATCATATAGAAAGTCCAGCAAAGGCTTCTGGTGCAGTCTCCTTTTCCTTTCTTGCCTTCTACACATTTTACCCCACTGGCCCCTCCTTCTCCCTTTGCCCCCCATTTTTTCTTCAAGTCAGAGAATATGTTTGGATCATTGAGAAAAGATGGATGACTATGTGGGACAAGACACAAATCAAAAAGGAACCCCAAGAATAGTAGCAACCACATTTTAAAATATTTTTAAATGTTTTTATTTATAATTGGGAAAGAGGAAGAGACCGAGTTCTGAGCGGGGGAGGGGCAGAGAGATGGAGACAGAATCTGAAGAACACTCCAGTTTCTGAGCTGCGAGCTGTCAGCATAGAATGCAACGCGGGGCTCGAACCCACAAGCAGTGGGATCATGACCTAAGCTAAAGTTGGACACTTAACCCACTGAGCCATCCAGCTGCCCCACCGCATTTTCAAAATAAGCACTTTACTACAGAAATCTTGGAATATATGCAAGAATAGTAGACTAGCATAATGAGTCCTCATGTCTTCATCACCCAATTTCATCAGTTATCAACTCCTGGCCATTCTTTGAGCAACCAGTATTTAATTTAGAAATTGCCTGTGGTAACAGAATACCTAGTCAGTTCATAGAGATTTGTATCACAGATAGAGCTTACTCGGGGCATCGTTGCTGTTTTGTAAACCGACTGAGAACAGATGAGGGACGATTTCAAGCCTGTTAGGTTTGGAAATATCTTTTCTGATTTGCTTTTTGTAAATGCCTGGGATTTTACCAATAGTTCAACTGTTAATTTGCAAATTGTGAATAAACCTGAAAAGGGAAATACATAAAGCCCATTAGCCCCATTAATTATTTATGATTTAGTGTAAATTGGTGAATTAGAAGCATGCTTGCCTGGTAAGTAAGCACGAGCAGGCTTTGTTGGGAGATCTAAAATCCAAGGGGCCTGGGCAAGGAATACTGTTCGGGAGGGCTGGAGGTGCTGCTTGGCTACTTTCTGGTTCTGCCTAGAGGTGCTCCTGCCTCAAAGCCCGCGGAAAGAGGTCCCCATTCCAGTTTGATGGTGTTCCCGTCGTCTGTCCTCTGGTTTCCCTTTGGCTGGTTGCAAACCTTGTGTAAGGCTGCCCAGGAGGGGCCGCCAGCTAACTCTGCTGCTTGTTTCTTTTTAGGTATCTTGCAATATATTCAGAACTCTCCCTCCTAGTGACAGCAATGAATTTGATCCAGAAGAAGACGAACCTACCCTTGAGGCATCATGGCCACACTTACAGGTACTTGGAACTACCATTCATTATAAAAGAAAGATCCATTAACTCATCAGTCAGTTAGCATGGGAGTTTCTTGAAGGCCTTTATTCACCCGGAAATCAAATTAGAGTACATTAATGGAAAGCTTAGAGAATGCTTTCTGTGTTTCTCACTCTGGATAATTAGGATGCCAAAAGAATAAAATAATAAGTTTCGGTGTAATGCTTTCATGCGGTTCCTCGCAGGTTGCACAGTTCTTGTTCTTTTATTAGAGCTTCTCTGTGATCCTGCCTGCCGCAGCCTCCAACAGGAACTGAGCTATTTTCACGTTAATATTAGTTAGATGTGATTAGGTCACAAGGTCTATATCTCATTTTCAGCAGCAGGTACCCTGGGGACCTTGAATGCCTATCTTCCTGATAACCACGGAAGTATTTCTTTAGCCTGGGAGGGCAAAAACAAATTGCGGTAGCTACTACATCATGCAAGGAAGAGCAACAGCTGATAGAAAGCTTGCGTGAAGGCCAGTTTTGTTCTCTTGCACTGAGAAGGCCATGTTTTCCAGTCCTACGCACGTGCCAGGACACAGCAGGGCCCTCCGTGCATCTCTGCCGCCAGCGCCAGGCCCATCTGTACTGCATTTACTGACCCATCCCAGTCATTTCCCATCCTCCTCTCCTGGCTGCTCTTGCTCCAGGCCAGCATTTCTTAGAGGAAGAGAATAAGGAAATATGAATGGAATGGGCCCCAGACCTGTCTTTCCATCGAGTGAGGATGTCCTCAGAGGCTGGATGACAACCAGCCAGGAGGGAAGGCACGGAGAGAGAGGGAACAGAACCTTGTACATTGTCACCCAGAGGCAGCCGCCATCGCATCTGTGAAGTGTGCTCACGGCTACTAGTTGATTTTCTAAAGAGCAGATAACTGTGCGGCAGCAAGATGAGGCCTAGAGATGTTCTAAAAGTTTACTTTTTCCCCATGTCAGAATTTTTGACATCGATTTGCAACTTTCCCTGCCTTGCTTTGGCAAGTCGAGGTCGCTACAGATACATATGTATGCTATTTCCCCTGGTTGTGAGGAGAACTCTCAGGGGCTCTGTTTTCTCAGCTCTTACCCAGCCATGTTATACATATGTATCCCTGCTATCAGTGCCAGGATTGAGTAAATTAGTTAAAACAGTGTAGCTGACTTCCCGTTTTAGCTGCTTGATTTTTTTTTTTTAAGGTGTCAGACATACTATCTGCAATCTAAGAAATTTGGAAAATTATTTGTGCTTTTCGTGGTATATCCCAGATGGTGACAAAAATTCAAAAAATAAGTCTTTTGAATAGGTGGACTTCTCATCATGTCTTATTCCTAATGCATGGCACCAGCTCACAGAAGTAGAGTGGAAGAAATTTAAAAACCAAAACACACAAGATAATCTCAGGGAAGTCCCACGTCTCACTGTGGAAAAGACAGGAAGAGAAATGTCTTCAAAGCTTCAAGTTGTCTTCTCTACACCCCACAGACAGTAGACCACTCTGGCCATTTGCAAGAGCTCTTTGAGCACTCTAAATCATGATCGCCATAGATCTAAATTTCTCCTAAAGCACAGTGAAGTTTAAGTATTTCAGTTAATCCTTCCTAAGCTTAATGACTGTAAAATACAGGACCAAATTAATTTCTAAAGCTATTAAACTAAATTCTGCCACCAAAAATCTCTGGCTTACATTGTGTCATTGCTACTGGAGCATTAACTGTTAGTTCACCTGAAACTCGAAAACCCAAACAACAGTGAGGAATGGCGATGAGAGCTAGCCCCTTCTGGGTGTAAAGTCACAAGCAGCATTCTAGAACTTGACTCCAGCTGTGTTGACACCCTGTTCAAGCCGATAATCCCCTCATCCCTTCTTTGGCTTGGAGGGAGGGGAGGGATATATGGCTTCTGTTGGATCAGGCAAAGGAAACCTACCCTTAAACTTCACAAATTGACCTTTATTCCTAGTAAAGGTCAAGTCAGTTGGTGCACTCTGTTGCCATCACCAGCTATTCCTTTGTGGAAGTCTTTGTACTCAAGATTCCTATGTTTCTCTTAGGTATTCTGACGCCACAAATTTGTCACCTTTCCATTTTCACTGATAGGTGGCTTTTAGAACTGATGAGCACTCACTGAAGGTTCAAGAAACCTCTTTTTCTGTCATGATTAAGTCATTTGTGTTACAGTGAGTTATCACTAAATTTAACATTTGACTTTTTAATTGATTCAAGTCTATTTTTCTGACCAAAACACAGCGATTTCTTAGACCTTTTCACTTTTTGGTGGCTCCAGCATTAACAGCATGCTTCTTCTTGTGGACTACACTTTATAAGGAAGCAAAGCGTTCATTACCGAATATCTGATAATAGTAGAGAACAACCAAATTGCATTGAGATGTGATTATTGGATAGACTGCTTCTGCACACATCTTATCTGATTTTAATCTGTGGCCCATACAAGATTACTCATAACAGATCTTGGCTCTTTGGAGATATTTGAAAATAGAAAACTGTTTAAATGCACAAATTTTTAGCTTAAATATATCAAAGGTTCTACTATATGTATGTTATTTGATCTTTTCTGTTATCTGCATTGTTATCTTTTAAACTGTTGTCCCACAGTTACCATGGTTATTCTTAGTGTGTTTTCTATATTTGGGTCTGTATTTCCAGTAGAATATGATTTTGAAGGACTTCCATTTACAATCAGGGGATTGTTTTTAGTGCCTTTACACTTGAGACTGAAAAATAGAAATGCTAAAGTCTTTTTACTCATGTTCCTTGGAGAATTCACTTATGTGACCTTGAAAAGTAAATGATTCTCAGTCCCTGGCTTTCTTTCTCTTTGGAAATCCAAGAGAGAGTTTTGATTTTGTGGTAAAAATCTGTCCCATAAGTGTAGAGAACATTTATGCTTATTAATAAGTGTGTCTGAAGTGTTTCCATCCAAGTGTTTTAAACCATAAGTGCTTTCAAGGGACCAGAGGGGAGAGAGCACTTTGCCAATCTTGCTGGAAAGTCCTGCCAGCCCACAAGTCAGGCCTGCAAGATGAGAATCTCTCCACTTTGTGGGAATTAAACCCCCTTTTATGGTTATTTGAATAAGACTGACATGCTATTTGTAAAAGAGAGTTGAAAACTTAGTGTATGAAAAAAAGAACAGTTATTCTAGAAGGTGTTGGGGCTCAGTCACATTATTATGCCTAGAAGTGCAGCTTGACAGGGTCACCTGGGTGGCTCATTCAATTAAGTGTCCAGCTCTTGATTTCAGCTCAGGTCGTGATCTCACAGTTCGTGAAATCGAGCCCCACATTGGGCTCTGGGCTGACAACATGGAGCCTGCTTGGGATTCTCATTCTCTCTCTCTCTCTGCCCCCCCTTCCTCTGTCCCCCAAACCCTTGTTCTCACATGCACATGTGATCTCTCTCTTGCTCTCTCTCTCTCCAAAATTAAATAGACATTAAAAAAAAAAAAAGTAGCTTGACAATGTTCAGATCATTGGGCAAGAAGTTCTTCTGAATTCAGAATTTCAAAGAGAAAAACAGTTTTTTACTTTAAAGTAAAATCCTAATGTGCATACCTAATTTAAGTGTTAAGAGTCTAAAGTCGTAGGTAAGGTCACGGTATGATGCATTTAGGTTAATGGTATCAGCAGACCCTTGGGGGACCCTGAGACCTGATTTTCAGGCCTGCAAAGTCAAAACTGGTTTTATAATAATACTCTGCTGTTTGCTGTTTTCACTGTGTTGACATTTGAGATCCTATTTGCAAAAGCATTGGTAGTTCAAATTGCACCTGCCTTAGCCCAAACCAAGGTGGTTGTGGCAAATTGGCTTAGTAGATATTCTTCACTGACCTGCGTTGACAATTTTAAAAAAGCTAATTTCAGTTAAGAATGGGCTTGGAGAAGCAGCGAAAATTATTAAATAAAATATTATTAAATCTAGACCTTCGAGTCCACATTTTAAAGAATACTCTTCGTCACAGAGCGGGAAGTATGCCCAGTGACTTCATACTGAAGTGTACTGATTGTCTTGTGTGTGAAAGCACTTATTGTGATTGTTGGAGCTACAAGCTAAACTAGCTATTTCTTCATGAAATAATCATTTTTTACTTACAGGAATGTCTGACGAACTGTAGTTGTTCCAGCTTGGGTATTTGGTAGATGTTTCCTTGTAAACAAAGAAAACCATTCACCACCACTGATTAAGTTAGGGCATTCCAGCAAAATGTAGAAATAGAATTTTGGGAAACTTTTATCCTTCTGTTGAACTTTTTAACCAAATTAAAACTTAAGACTTTTTGATGAAATTGGAGATACTAAGGAATGTGACTTTTTAGATACAAATTTGTCACCATTTGAAAAATGCCTGAGTGAACCAGTATTTTCCAGCTAATGGTGTTAGGAAACCATGCATGGTAAAGATCCCTTCCAAGTGTGTAACAGACCATTGGGATTTAGTATAACAGAGTATGAGAAATTCATTGATTTTGGTTTCAGATTCTGCAGTACGACCCCTACTTAAGAAACATTGTTGAGTTTTGGTGTAGTATCAAAAAGGAATATCCACAATTATGTGAAACTACTATGAAAATACTCATCCTTTTTCATACTGTTAGATCTGCATGAGGCTTGATTTTTTGATATACTTCAACCAAAACAGTATGCCACAATGGATTGAATACAGAAGCAGATATTAATCTGTTTTCTAATATGCCGTTAAAGAGATTTTTCAAAGATAAAAAATAATGCCTCTCAGTTGTTTTGGAAAATAAAGTTATTTGCCACAAACATACATTATTTATATTAATGTGTAATATATTGTCCTAAAATGAAATATCTAAATATATATTTGAAATTTTCTCAGTGTGTATTTCTGACCTTACGTATGTATACAACTATATATTTCTTCATATTATATAAACAAAAGGTTTTGGAGTCTTCAGCAATTTTTAAATGTAAGGGAGATGGACTAAAAACTTTTGAGAATGCTATTTTAGGTAATAGTGATAATGGTGATATGTATTGGGGCATCTGGGTGGTTTAGTCGGTTGAGAGCCCGACCTAGGCTCAGGTCATGATCTCCAAGTTCGTAGGTTGGAGCCCCATGTTGGGCCCTGTGCTGACAGCTCAGAGCCTATATTCTGCTTTGGATTCTGTGTCTCCTGCTCTCTGCCCCTCGTCTGCTCACATTCTGTCTCTTTCTCTCTCCAAAAATAAATAAATAAATAAATCAAAAAATTAAAAGAATTTAAAAAATAGTGCTATGTATTAGTTACTGTGCATAGCGCTTTATATATATTATCACATTTAATTGGGGATTATCATCCCCATTATTCAATTGAATAAACATATACTTTTAGAGAAAGTAACTTGCCTAGGGCTACACTGTTAGTAGGGGACAGAGCTAGACTCCCAACCCAGTATCTGTCTGCCCCTTACAAGTTTTTTTTTATACGCTGTTGTATATTATACCAGGATCTCATGTGTATTTTAACATAGATTTATTTTTCAAAGAACATGAACAATGATCTACTATTTATCAGAACAGTTATGTGAGATTGATTCTGCAGATGAGAATATTCTTATTCCTTGCAGATAAAAGAGTTTTGTAAATTGCCATAAATTTTCTGAAAGGAAATTTGGCAATAAATGTTGAAAATCCTGAAATGTTTGGATACCTACCTGTTGCTATAACATTTCCACTTCTAGAAATAGTTCCTCATGCAGTAATTGAGCAAATGCACACTGATGTCTATTACATAATATACATTGTGGCATAATTTGATAGAGAAGTTATTGAGAAACTATTTAAATGTTGAAGCATAGGAGATTGGTTAAATTGATCATGAATAATGGAATTATTCATTTAAAAATTATGTAAAGTGGACTGCTTATAGCTACTAAGAATGATGGTTTAGTTATTATTGACATAAATTGTACATAATATATTGTTAAGATGGTAAAAGTATTTTGAAAACTATATAAAAATATATTTATAGTTCACTGGTATGTTATGGAAGTAGAGAAAGAAAAATCAGGAGGCTTGTACATTAAGTAGTTAACAGTGGTTCTCTTTGAGTGGTGAGGCTATGGGGGAGTTTTATTTGCATTGTTTGGCTGTATAATCAGATTTTTAATTTGAAAAATTGAAAAACATAATAGTGACTGTGAACCACAAAGAAGGGTAGCATAGCTTGTAATCGATATTAAAACTCAATTTTCTAAGCCCTGTCAGTTTTAGTGTTACAGCCTTTTTATGGTTTTTTGATACTATGCTCAGTGAATTATAACTTGAAATTAATTATAATCTGTTTGTTGCAGCTTGTATATGAATTTTTCATACGATTTTTGGAAAGCCAAGAATTCCAACCCAGCATTGCCAAAAAATACATAGATCAGAAATTTGTATTACAGGTAAGCAAATTTTTGTGGTTGTCCGAATTTGTTATTCAGTTGATAACACTTTATCTTTTTTTCTCCTGATTGTTAAAAAACTTTCAATGACAGTCATATCACCTTTTAAAAAAATATATGCTGTATATATGTTAGTTTCCATTATTACTCGTTAAAAGTAATAGGATCCTCTTTAATTTATTATTTAACTTATTGCTGGAAATTATATTTTAAACAACAAGGAATGCTAATGCCTAAATCCCTGCAGTTTTCTTGCTTAAAATTTAATTATAAAGGAATTTCATTAATACAACTCTGGTTTGTGTGAAACTTTATGTAGCCTGAAAACTCCTATTTGCATAAGGATTTTTAAGGAATAATTGCTTAGGCAAGTTAAAACTGAATAAGCATGGCCTAGAGCAGAAATAACATTCGATAAATAATCAAAGTCAGATACTGGTGAGCTTTCACAGTTGGAAATGGTGCAGCTTGACACTTTCAAATTCCCATAAAGGGATTAACTCTCGCCTATCTATTTGGAGCTTCTCAGGGTATGTATTCTTCTTGACTTGCCATTTTACATTTTACAACCATAGATCACGTCTTCCTTCTTACGTGGGACTCGAGAATGTTCATGACAGTGAATTTTTAGGTAACGTCTTCTTGCTCCTGTTGTTGACATTCATCTATAAAAATGGGTACTTGAGCCAACTGATGTATGGGCTGTTGTAGCTCCTTTCTGAGTGGTTACTGAGCACTTCATGTAGAAAAGAATTAGTATCTCTCTCTTAGTGAGCCAGTAAGCAGAACTTAAAATTTAAAACATTATTTTAGCAGGCAATTGGTCTTCTTGTACCCTTCCTGGATAAAGATTGATAACCTCTGCGATGACCTCATTTCCCCTCCTAATTAAATTAATACATTTAGAAATCTGGATATATTAGTTTGAGAGGCTTTGGAAAAGTGAGGTTTAAAATAGAGATGGAGAGTTAGGTAAATAGGTGGATACACGGAACATTCATTGCATAAATAGGTAGACTGATCCAGATTCTTCTACGAAGGAGGCAAAGTACATTTCAGACAAAAAAGCAACACGTAATCAGTCTGTGTTTTGTATTGGAAAGTCCTTGCATTTATATAGCATCGTATAATTGTCAGAGCATCTTTACATACATTATTTAATCTATACAATAGGCACCGCTAAATTTTAGTCTCATTTTACAGATGAATACACTGAGGTTTGGAATATTATCAAGTTTTCCCAAGCACATTTCCTATTCTGGTTTTCTATCCATTATGCCATGATGACTCCTTGTGATTCCCCTCACTATGACTTGGATTGACTTCAAGGCAGGAGTAGTCCTCACTTGTCAACACTAATGAAATATTAAGGTCTCTGTATGTTTATGGTAAATTAAAGTACCCAAGAGTATCAGTGAACCTGTGTTCAGTTGACATGGAGACAGTAAGAACTCTGATCTTACTGTGAAGCCGGTGCTTTTCTTACACAGAAAGTCTGCAAGGCCCAGCTCGGAGTGTTGTTCATGGTAGATGGGTACTTATGATAATAAGGGTCATTAGCTTAAAACATCAGAGAAACCCAGACTTGAAGGGATGTTTTGGATCGTCTGTTCTCATTCATTCCCAGTGAACTAGTCTCCTTTGGGACCCTGAAAAGAGGTGACTCCCATTTATTCTTTTTTAGTGAAGAAGCACTATATACTTGGGCAGATTGTTCTGTTTTTGTTAGAAAGCTCTCTTTTTATTGAACCTCCCTATACTTTGTACCTTCTGACTGTATTTCCCCCAGAACAGTCCTTTAGTACTTACTAGCTTGGACATAACATTTCAGCTCTTAGATAGAACACGGCGTTTGTGTTTACCTCTTGGCTCTTTTTCCCTAGAACAGCAGTTGCAACTCCAATGCTTATAGGCTCATGTATCATAAGTATGGTGGCCAGGTGTCAGATAATAGGACGTAGGCAGGTTTCTACTAAAGGAAACTTTGGTTACCCCTGTTCTTTCAGTTATTGGTAGACTTGGGGTTTTTTTCCCCCTCTTTCTCAAGAGAAACAGAAATCCAGATTGTTTGTGAAATTTTCTGATAGTTCTAAACTCCTGTTCGGGAGGAACTATGCCCATCTGCCTTCTGGATCTAGCTGAGTAGCTGTCAGTATGCAGTCTCTGTTCTAGACCGAGTCTTTAGTTCTGTGGGCCATGTCTCACTTGTCAGTTTTGGAAGTCTTCTGTCTGTCAGAACTTAGCCTGGTCAGTCCAGCACAGCTTGGAATTGGGTTCTCCGCGGGTGCCAGGTTTCTTAAAGGGGAGGTCACATTAGCTCCTCTTGCTGTTCCATGGCACTGTTATGTTAGCACAGCTTTCTCAACTTGTGGTCTTTAACTGATTTCTAATTTAGCTTTATGCTAAATTATGTGAAGCCATGTTTTTTCTTGTTCTTGTTAGTCGTACAATTTGCCGTGGGATTTGACATGTTTTTCTGCAGAATATCATTTCTCCCCAGCCTTTTGAAGTCTTTCTGTATCTTGAGCCTGTCATCCACCGTATTCATTGTGCCTTCCATCTTGATCACATCTGCGACTTTCTTAACTGTGCTAATAGCAGTTGGCTTCATCTCAGGCCATTGATTGAAATTGTTCAAAGAGCCAGCACTGACGATAGAGGCCTCTGGCATGCCCTTAGCAGCTTCCCTTTATTTTAATACAGATTCATTAATCAACAGTCTTTGAATTCCATCCTTAAACCTGTTAGAAATTTACTCTAGAATGTCATCATGCTTCTTAAATTTTAAAATCTTGTTCATAAAAGAGTATAGAGACTTTGTCAGATGCCGTAATAAAATCCAGGACTTTGTGCTTACAGCAGCCCCTCTTTTATGGGCCATGAGACTTTATCATGAAAAAGAATGCCATTCATCTGCCATAGGACATGAGTGAACTTCTGGGGGCCCCTGCTCTTTATTGGTAACGATGCCCGAAGTACTTACAAACCATGTGATCGATCATCTGTCTCCAATTTTTTCCAGAGACGAAGAATTAAGTGAAGTCCATGTACTGATACTTTGTTTTCAGCCCTTGCCTCAGTTTTACAACTTGTGCCTCCTTTACCTTCCCTCTGCTGGATCTGTTGATGAACTCAGCTGTCACACACTAGGGCTCCCCGCACTTCGTGAATCAGTCAGGAAAGGACAGGCAGGGTGTTGGCAAAATCAGTAACACCACCGAGTGGTGCTCGAATGTAATCATGCGGCTGACCATAGCATTAACTGTCATGTTGAGGATAGGCTCTGGGTGCCGATTAGCTGCCGTTTTCCAGAACACTTGTCCATTCGTGTTGGGCACCTGTAAAGTTGGCCTCTTGCCCCTTTTCACACCCATTAGTCTGCTGCTGACTTACCTGTGATCCCAGCACTGGTAGGAGTGGGGTCTCGATCCCCTATGTAATTCTCCCGAGTTCCCTTCCTGGGAGATTTGTTTCTGACTTGGGACCTGCCTGGCCTTTTGGAGCTTAAGGCATTGTTGCCGAGATTCCGCTCTGCCCCTGCCCACCCTCCTTTTCCTCCTGCCGCCATGCTTCAGCTGTCCTGGAGCAGGTCACTCCTTCATCTGTATACCATGCAGTCCGCCCGCTCATTATTTACACCCCCTCTTCCCCTGCTTGTTTCTCTCCTCACAGGCTCCTGTGGCGCCAGCTAGTCCTGGCGTGTTTTGTACCTAAGCCTGGTTTTCTACGACACGGGAGCCCTCCTACCTTTCCCTTTTGCAAATCAGGATGACATTTATCGCATTCTTTTTCTTGGAGTAGATTTTTTATTCTCCGTAGATTCTCAAAAGATCTCAGAAGGAATTTTTGGTCCTCTCAGCCTAAAACTTTTTTATTTAATTAGACATAAAATTAGCCACGAAATTTCAACCTGTTTTCTATAGCAGCTAGCTGTGTTCTTCACAATCTATTTGGATTCTTGTTTCTCCCGTCAGTAAAGACAACAGCAAAATTAAGAATTGAGCTATTTTAACATGATGTAGTGGAAAGAACGTTAGCAAGCTGTGGATTTGCATCCTGACTCCCCTGTGTACTCTAAGTAGTAGATTATAGGGCTAAGAATATGCGCTGTGGGGTAAGAAGGAACGGCATTAAAACGGGCTTTTCCACCTACTTGGCAGTGTGGCTTTCAGCCAGTTAATACACTTGCTGTCCAAGCCTGAGTCTACTCATTTGCAACATGAGGTAATAGAAGAAATGAGATTTAAGTAAATAGGATGTATACCCAAACTGACGATTGTTAAACATGCTTGCTTGGGTCGGCCCTATGGATACAAAGACAGGCTTCCTCCCTTCAGTCATGAGCATATACTTGAAAACTCGGGGCAGATTTTTAACTATTTTGAACCTCAGTGTTTTCTTCTATAAAATGGCTATAATGGTGACCTTTTTTTACACAAATTATAACAAGTAGGCTTGTTAGGATGATAAAATGCTGTGGATGTGAGGGCGATCTGGCTGCGATATCTGTCACCCCATTGATCGCCAGGGTTGATTCAGCTGATCTGGCTGACTAGGCGGGTGTCCCCTTCCTCCCTCACCGCTCCACGTGCATCCCTCCCGAAGCTGCGCGCTCGAAGCTGCGCGCTTGGTCGAAGAGGACGACCTTCCCCGATAGAGGAGGATCGTTCTTCAGTCAAGGGTATATGAGTAGCTGCACTCCCCTGCTAGAACTTTTTAAGTTAATGTGAAACTTATATAAGAGATTTTTGCAAAGAAAGCTTGAACAAATGACATATTCCTAGATGGGAAGCTATCATAAGGATGGCCATAGAATCGCTAAGTTAATTTATACAGTTAGTGCAATTCTAAGTAAAATTTCAGTAGTTTCCTTTTTTGAAAATTTCAAACTTCATGAAATAAATATTTGAAATAGAAAACCAAAGACCCTTTGCCTCTTAGATATTAAAACATATGAATGTCCCCTATTAAAACTATAAAGGCACATGAATTGAAACAGT